GTGTGTGTGTGTGTGTGTGTGTGTGTGTGTGTGTGTGTGTGTGTGTGTGGTGGTGGGGGGTGTTGCATAACATTTTGCAAAGTTTTGAACAAGTGTTCAGCTGTTGTGCAGTCTAATCTGTATTTTCTTGTTTGAAATGTAGCAGTGTAATATGTACTGGAGGGGTTGTTCGTCCAGAGCACGTACAGTGTATGTACAAGTGTTATTAATAAGTATCTACAAGATGCATAGCTGGTACTTATAGGATTGCTACTGGGTACTTGCAGAGTACTTACTGGGTGCCTACGGGGTACACACCTGATACTTACAGAGTACCGACTAGATATATACATGTACTTACTAAGTATTGGGTATCTATAGGGTGCATACCTAATACCTACTGCGTATGTACCAATACTTACCAAGTACTTGGGTACTTAAGGGTATGTGCCAAGTCTATTGCAGTACTGTACAAAGTAAGGGACTTACTGAATGATAAAGCTCTGTACATGTTTTATAACGCAATCATTGTTTCACACTTAATTTATTGTATTGATGTCTGGGCGAAAGCGTGCAAAACATTTATAAATCCTATTTTTGTTTCAGTCATTAGCATTTCAGTCACCCATCAAGTACTTTATTTTATCAACTGAAGTTCCATGATTTGGTAGATTATAATATTTTATCAGTTATGTATAGGGCTCATAGTAAGACATCACCTTTAAATATCCAATTGAATTTTGTTAAAAGAGAGAGCTGTTCTAATCTTAAGGGGATGGAAATCTTTGTGAAACCTAAATTTCGAACTAGTCTGAAGGAACGGTCCTACCTCAATCCAGGGAATTAGATTATGGAATAATCTGGAAAGTGATGTGAAAAATGCCAGATCGATGTTTATGTTTAAGAGAACGAATCAAAGTTGGTTTGTTAAAAAAAAAAAAAAAAAAAGAAATAGCTTCATGTGTATTGTATGAACTGACGCTCGACAAGGAGTTGTTTATTTTGTTGTTATTTGAAGATTATTATTGTTTGAATTAATTTTTTGGTATAAAGGGGCAGATATAAGTTGTTTTTTTTTCGTCTTTCTGCTGCCTCTGTTGTATTTATCGTATATTGTTTTGTTTTTAAAAAATGAACAAACTTATAAATAATAACTTAAGGGTAAGTACGTGATGGGCGGTACCCACAAGGTGTGTACCTGGTAATTAACATCTACACAAGATAAGTAGCTGGTACTTACGGAGTACGAACTAGGTACCAGCCTGGTATCTGGTACCTGCAGGGACTAGGCTGCAGTTTAAAAGTTTCATTCATGAGCAGATTTATTTGGTCTGTGGCGCCATCTCCTGGTTGACTGTGGAACTAAATGTTTTTCAGTGTTCGTTTTGCAGTTTTTTTTTTTTTTTTTTTCAGTGCAGCAAACCGCAAGAAATGGTGAGTGAGGCAAACAGACGCGGCTCGCAGTGTACCGTCTTTTATACCGACCAAACTGTCCCCGAGCAGCAACCAACCCCCCCCCAAAGCGCTAAACTATCAGCTGAACCAGGTTCGGTGTCGAGACATCGCTCAGAAGCAGCTGTCTTTGTTCAGCTAAACCGTGCTAACGGGAGCTAGCTTCGGTTAGCGCACAGCAGCTAGCTCACGGTAGCTTTTTGTCGTGCAAAGTGCTCTAGTTCACAACAAGCTCGACAAAAATGAGCCCAGAAAAAGGTCAGGTGATTCCACATTGTGACGGCTAAACCAGCAAACTTAGCGTTCAACTTAACAACTATTTTTACCCCAGCGACGCTAACAGTTAGCAACAACGCTAAGTAGTTAGCATGGCTAATGTAACAACAACGAATCGGAAAATACTCGACTAAAGCTGCGGAAAGTTCTGCTTTAACACCCGAGTGACTCCAACACAGGATGTATGTATTACTTGTTAGTATGGGAGTCCTACCTGTTTGCGAAGCCATGTTTAAAACGATTATTATAAAGCTAAATTTAGCTTAGCTTAGGCTAACGGGCTCAGCTGAACTATTCCGTGATGACGTAAAACATGTCTCTTTAAAGAGCCTGAGGACGAGCTGTCACTGTAACTTCTGCTCTTTGTATTTAATGTTTTTGTGGTAACTAAATCACCAGGTCTTCTAAGCAAAAAGCACATTCAGTCTTTACCAAGTTAATAAAAAATACAAGCTTAACTTCAGTTTAATTGATGTCATTTTGGTTAAAAATAAAAATCTGATGCCTCTCAATCTGTGTCCCAAAGGTGAAGAAGTTGTGTACAGATGATTTTTATGACGTAACAGGGTTTCATATTTATTGTCATCTCGCTTCAGGACGTGTTTTTAATGATTCGACGTCACAAGACGACCATCTTCACAGATGCCAAAGAGTCCACCACAGTTTACGAACTGAAGCGCATAGTTGAAGGGATTTTAAAGAGGCCACCGGAGGACCAGAGGCTTTATAAGGTAAGTTAGGACGACCGTGATCTGGAGATTTACTCTTGGTTTGTTTACAGCCACCTGTGGACATGAAATAAACTTTCACCGTTTGCCTTCGCAGTCGTTTCATGGAGGTAAACCTTCACGTTAGACAGCAGATTACAGCAGATTTTAAAGTTAGGATTGAAAAACACTCAAGTTTGGTATTTTATTTAGTTTAATAAGAAGAAGAAAAAGACTGTTAATAGCATTTTTCTGCCCTAACTGTTATGAGAGATTAAACACGTTTAAGTAAATAAGAATCGTCTTAATTGTGGTCATCAGTGAGAAACGTTGCTACAATGTTTTTGTTTTTTTTAACCCGTCCAGAGGACCCGACTTAACCTTTTAGATGTGGTCATCAGTGTCCTTTAGAGATGTGATGTTAACAAACGCTCCGAGTCTTTTGAACGACTCTTTTAAACGAATGATGGGAACCAAGTCGCAGACAGCTGAGAGGCTTCCTTTTGTTTTCCTCTTCAGATGTCGACACAAACAGGCTCCTCCTTTTCTTTTTGCTGAAACAAAGAGCTGTGCTACGTGACTAGCAGTTCGACACTGAATGACTTGTTAAAAGGAACAGATCCATAAGATCTGGCTCCCTTCAGATCACAAATCCCATCCCTAGTGCACTTGTTTATTTGGCTTGGTTGCAGTTTTTGCGTTCTTAAACCAGCTAGGGATGCTCAATATTATAGGCCAGTATTAGCGTTAAAATTAACTATCGGACATTCCATCAAAATAACTCACCGATATAAAAGACGCTGTTTTTATATGACAACCCAGTGACAAGGATGCCTGCAGCATCAGCATAATGCGATGATGTCACGCGCGCCTACCTGATCTGATCACAGCGGAGATGAAGAAGTCAAAATGACGGCGGTGTGGAAGTTTTTTTGTTGTTGTTGGTGTTGGATTCCGAATATTTTTGGACCACGTTGAGCCTCGCTACATCGTCCCCAGTCAGAGAGATTTTTCCGACGTAACCTAACCCGAGTTACAAGCCGTCATTTCCGACGTCATTGAGAAGCTAATAGCCGATAGCACCTGGGTGAGTTTTACCACAGACATTTGGACGTTGTGTTAGCCCCGTTAGCACGATTAGTCTTACGCCACAATGGATAGACAAAAACTTTGAACTTAAAACGTCTGTCCTTCATGCACATGAGTGCAGAGGATCCCACACTGCAGCTGAACCTGGAACAAGCCTCCACAAGTAAGACAGCATCTGAGGTGACCAATGCTAATAAATAACATTTAACACTTTTCATTTAATATAAGTTAAAGTATATGGCTGTTACTGAATATGTGTCACCAGCTCTTACAGCTGTTACACAATTTTTGTAGCAAATAAGCCTAAATAAGAGAGGAGGGCTATGTTCTGACAAAAGAGCGTATATAAAATATCGGTTATCTGCCAAATAAGTTTTAATATATCGGCCAAAAATCCATTGTCGTGCATCCCAAGTTTCAGCTGCTGTTATTTTGTGGGTCTGGTGCTTAAAAGAGAACTGTTGTTTTATGAAATGTTGGTTTATCCTGAAACAGAGAACAGTTTTATTTTCCTGATGTCAAATTGTATCAGAATGTCTTTTCCTCTTAAACTGGCAAGAATTACTTACATTGTGTATATTTGTTTTAAAAAGAAAAAATGTAAGCGGCAAAAAGTCGTTAAGTTGGTACTTTGCATTTTTTTCCAGGTTTTTTTATGTGAAACGTCAGAAGGAAGGTTTATGATGATTTAAAGAAAGGATTATTAAGACGCATACAAACCTTTCATTTCCTTTGTCTTTTGCATATTCTTCCTCAGTAATAAAAAGAAAACATCAGATTTTTAACTATCAGCTGAATTACGTACAATTTCTTTGATTTCATCTTTTGAATTTTGAGGATTTACCATCTTCCTTTGAAAAATCAGGTTGTTTAAACTCATCAGCACAAAAGATGTTTAGATAATAAGACGCGTTTCTCTTGTAAACTTGTGTTGCCACAAGAATTTTATTCACATTTATTCTAGTTTTGGTGCTTTTTTTAAATAAAGTTTGAAGCGTTCTTGTGTTGTGTTCAGCTGCTTTTCCAGTTTTATGCTAACGCGATGAGGTGGAGGAGGACATGAGCTCAGCAACAAGTGTTTAAATAATTATAAAAAAAAAAAAAAAGAAGACATCTGGCAACGTGACTCCTGTTCTGAACTTACAGGAAAGCTCAAACTAAAAATAGAAACCATGTGACGTTTAAAACACTTGGAGAAAAAAAAAAGGCAGCTAAAATGAGGAACCTTTAGTGTGACGTAAAAACAATAAACCCGGCTCGACTCGGAGCTTACAACAAATCTAGAAGTTTGTAGAATTAACAAGATGGCCGTTCACACACGGAGGACTGCATCAAGAACTCAACAGCATTTTACTGAATGCTCACGAAAACCAGACAAAAACACATTTCAACTTAATCCGCACAATCTTCTTCTCACGGCGACGGTCAGTGTGTCGTTAAATTAAGACGTTTGTGACGGGAACTACCACCTACATTTGTTTACCTGCAGAAACAGCCGAAGTGAACGAAAGCGGGTCAGATGTTTCAGAAAAACCGCGCTGGTTTTTGTCGCGCTGCTTGAACCAAGATCCTGACGGTGGTCGGACTCGAACTTCCGCTGCTCTTTTCAGAGAAGTTTCTGTTCTTGGTGGCGGGGGCTCAACGGCACAAAGAATTGAGTTAATGTGAGCAAGGCGCCCCCTTAGATGATTTATATTTATACTTCTATTTCCTCACGTTTCTACTCTCGTTCGATTCCGTCACATTCATCTCCACGTACTCCAACCAGCCTAACGGAGGTCGATCACGCGACTCGAGCTTCCTCCTCGGCCTTTGGCTGATTCAGCCGATTGCTTTGTTTACGTTGAGCGCGTACCTGCGTTTCAGAATTTTATACCGACATATCTGAACAAACTTCAAACTGCTCCGTTAGACGTCGTCAGGAGAACTTTTAAGTGCACGCACGTTCTAATCTAAACTGTTCGTGAATTAATAGAACAACAAAATTATTAAACCGACAAAACGGTTTTGGCCTCACAGTTTTTGTAGCGCTGTATTTTATATATTTAAATTAAAAGATAAACGTTTGGCAGCTTGATCTCAGTGTGTTTCCTGCTTTGATCTGTCCAGGAGGACGTGCTGCTAAACGACAGTCAAACTCTTGGAAACTGCGGCTTCACGAACCAAACGGCTCGACCTCAGGCCCCGGCCATGGTGGGATTAGCGTTTCGTCTGAGCGGTGAGGTTTTCGTTCTCTGCTCGGACCTGACGTTTAACGGTTTTCAGCTTTTCTGAGACGCTCCCGTGTTTTGTTTCCCCCCTCCAGACGATTCGTTCGAGCAGTTGAGGATCGAGTCCTTCTCCACTCCCCCGGAGCTTCCCGACGTCATGAAGCCCCAGGATTCTGGCAGCACAGCCAACGAGCAGGCGGTCCAGTGACGGATGGCGTTCAGGAGACCAGAACCACGGCGGGGGAGGAAGGGGGTTGAGTTTTTGGGAAGCGATGCCTCGGCGCATTAAGGTTTCCAACGCCAGCGCAGCTCAAGTGCGGCATAACTGATTACAAATATGGATTCCCTTTAAATTCACGGGGCTCCAAAGAGATTAATTCGTCTTGAAATTAGTGAGCGCATGCTAGAAAAATGAATATTTTCACACCAGACCCTTCAGAACCCGATGGACTTGTCAGAACTGTCAGTCGTCCATCCGATGGGTAAGAATCGTACCTCGTATTTAATAAAATCTCATCTTTATTTGAAGCAAGGTTGGCGCTGCCTTGCTCGTGGGTCTTTATTTTGCTGGCTTAAAAGGTAAAGTTGACAAAGTGTGACATTTTTAGGCTGTTTTGTGTTTCTATAACTAGTTTGTTTGTTTTTTCCTTTGGCCTGGATATGTGTTGCAACTATAAGTGAGAGTTTGTGAATTTCTAAATTATCTGTATTTCAAAAACTTTTGAACAATGCTCAAATAAAAATAGATTTACTTGTTTTTGTTACTCCTACGATACGTAGTTATTGTCCGCGTGCCGGAGCGACACGCCGGTTACTGGAACTCTGATGTAAAACATAACATTTTGGAGAAAGTGACTAATTAGGAGCCCAAACTGCATAAAGAGCTTTAAACGGTTTTTAAGTGACTCTCTTCCATGTTTTCACACGTTTTCTCCTCGACTCGTCGCCCTGCAAAACTCGTTTCTGTCGGTTTCGTGCAGTTTAAACTGCAACAAACGTCAAAGATCCAGTTTGAGGCGTTAACGCGGGGTCACTTTGGAGCTTCGTCCTGAAGATTTACCACCAGGAGTAAATCCCGAGCTCGTGGATTCTAATAAAACTGTTTGAGCTTCTTTAAAACGCGTTTTCAGATTGAAGCTGGTAAACTCTGGAACATGAACAGCTAAACTTGTAACGGATTTAAAACTAAAACGATTGTTTTTAACCTTTTTGCACTGTAGTGCATGATTGATGACGTTAACAGGAAGTTCATGTTTGAAACGTGATTTTAAAGTTAGGTTTCCTGTTTCTTTCCTGATGGAGAATAAATTATTTTATTTAAGAATGTTTTTGTTCTAATGCATCAGCAATGATTTAAAGTTTTGTGTTTTTAAGTGAGTGATGCTCTTAAACTTTATTTTTTTATGCTTTTGAGATGCATCACCTACTAAACATGATGCAAGACAAAAATAATAAATTTAAAACATTATTATTGTAAGTAATAATGTGCACAAAAATCTAAAAACGTTATTCATTTTGTGAAATGCCTTGCTACTTTAACAAGCTTTTTATTTTTTACTTAAAACTTGCTTTTTGCTAAAAGTTTAGGTAATTTTCCATAATTTTAAGCAACATTTTCTTACGTTTGGCTCTTTTCTACCTAGCCTTTTGCTTCTTCTACCTAGCTTTTTGCTACTCTTAGCTACCTTTTTGCTGCTTTTAGCTAATACCTTTTTGGCACTTAACTATTTGCTACATTTAAATTTAAGCTAACATTTGGCTACTTTTAGCTAGCTTGCGGCTACTTTTGACTTTCGGCTAGCTTTTTGCTGCTTTGTTTTGCTAGTTTTTGGCGGTTTTTTTTAAGCTTTCAAAACCTAATTTTAATTTCATCAGCTACAGTTCCAACTTTAAAAACCTAGAGAAATTATCTCCTGTTAATGCTGAGAACTGAATGATTGCTAAAATGAACTGATTAAATTTAAATTAGGTTTTGAAAAAAAAAGGCAAAACAAAGCAGCAAAAAGCTAAGTCAAAAGTAGAAGCATAAAGCTAGGTAAAAGTAGCCAAATGTTAGCTTAAATAAGCAAAAGGAAAGCTGTCAAAGCCGTAAAAAAGGAAAAACGAGCTATGTAGCAAAAACCTAGCTAAAGTTAGCATACGGCAAGTTCAAAGTAAAAGGGTAGTTTGAAGAACAATGGCAAAAAGAGTTGCGTTCGACATTTATGTTTTATCAAGTTTGTTGATTCACTCCTGAGTGATACTGCTAAAAATCTTTTTTTTTTTCCCGTCTACATAATCGGTTTTGCAAATGGTAACTTAGCTTATTAATCAGCTAAAACGCTGTAGTATTCAGATTCTCACGGTTCGTGAATGTCGCACGACATCTTTGAACTATCCAACAGTCCGTGAATGCAGCAAACATTAGCTCAGGTTAGCATCGCGCTGCTAACTAAAGCGTTAAAGCTAGCCACTTTTAAAGATGAATTGTTGGGCTTTTGTACGTCTCACGGCAGAAACGGGTTAATTTTGTTAACGTTTAGTACGAATGGACGTCAGGGAGCATGTGTTATCGGCGGGTAAAGCCGTTTTGGACATGATGGAGCGGGAATGGCAGCCTCTGTCAGCGGGCGAGTTGGAGCATCGGCTGGACCAGGCGGTGGAGGAGATCCTGGAGGCAGATCTGGTAACAAAACTCGAAACGCAGACTCCTCGGACTGTGTACGTGCAGCTGCTGCAAAGTAAACCCACCGCAGGTGCTCAGGTTTCACCTCCAGCAGATGTTAAAGGTAACCCAGCTGAAGGAGGAGCAGCGGCGGCTGACGGAGAGCAGGAGACGGCGGTGGAGCCTGCAGCTGTCCGGGTGAATAAATCTGTTAAAACTGCAAGAATATCAGACTATTTATGGTTTTAAACGAGTCTGATGTCGATCTGTTTAAATCAGTGGGGTACTCTACAAACTATGCATCTAAAACATCTCTTTTAAAATTAAAAATTTAGACGCATTAAACCCTTTTCTGCAGGTTTTATCACCTTAAACACGATGATAGTTGGAACACATGGACCGGGAACTTTGGATTAAAGGTTTGTGGTTTTATCCGTAAATTACTCGAGTAAGAGGAAGTAGATGTAGAAATTCAAAAAGATAAAAACGGTGAGATGTTGAGATATTTTGCTTTGTCTGCAGTTTAAATATAAAAGTAAAAGTTTGACATACAGAACTAATTCTCCTCCGAGTCCATCAGCTTGAGCAAGAAGGTCCAGGCATCTCTCTCCACAGCCTCCTCTTCCAGCTCTTCTGGGAGGACTCCGTCTCTCTGCTGGCCTGGGTCTCCTCCCAGTTGGACATGTCCAGAAAACCTCTGTCCAGGGAGCATCCATACCCCTTAGCTGCCCGAACCAACTCAACTGGCTCCTCTCGATGTGGAGGAGCAGCAGTTCTACTGAGTCTCTCCTGATAACTGAACTTCTCACCCTCTCTCTAAGGGAGAGTCCAGCTACCCTGCAGAGGAAACTCATTTCAACCTCCTGTATCCACGATCTCTCATTCGTTTGGTCACTGCTCGGAGTTGATGACCATAGGTGAGGGGAGGAACGTAGACCAATCGGTAAACAGAGCTTCACCCTACAGCTCAGCTCCCTTCATCACAACGGACCGGCACAGAGTCCACAATACTGCAGAAGCTGCACTGATCCATCTCTCGGTCTCACGCTCCATTCTTCCCTCACTCATGAACAAAACCCTGAGGTACTTGAATTCTTCCACTTGAGGCAGAACCTCACCCTCGACCTGGAGAATACAGTCCATCCTGTGACTGAGGACCACGGCCTCAGATTTGGAGGTGCTGATTCTCATCCCAGTCACTTCACACTCTGCTGTGAACCGCTCCAGTGAGAGCTGAAGATCACGGCACGATGACGCCAACAGGACCACATCATCTGCAAATAGAGATGGAATCCTGAGGCCACCGAACCGGACTCCCTCCACCCTCTGGCTGCATCGAGAAATTCTGTCCATAAAAGTTATGAACAGAATCTGTGACAACTGGCAGCCCTGGTGGAGTCCAACTCCCACCCTGAAGGAGTCCGACTTACTACCATCAATGCGAACCAAACTCTCGCTCCACTTGTATAGGGACCGAACAGCCCGTAACAACAGGCCCCTAATCCCTCACAGAGCATCCTCACAGTGTACCTCGGGGAACACGGTCTAACGCCTTCTCCAAGTCTACAAAACACATGAAGACTGGATGAGCAAACCCATAAACACTCGAGGACCCTAGTGAGGGTAAAGAGCTGGTCCTGTGTTCCATGGTGGGGACAGAACCTGCATTGTTCCTCCTCAAGACAGGGGTCTTGAGTTGTTTTCCATAAATTGAATAAATTAAATATTCTTAAAAATATATTTTACCTATGATTGTTACAAACATCAGTAAACAGATAAGTTTAATCTGTTTGGGTTCTTCTTACACTCTAATCTACTTTTTAGAAAATGTTTTGAAGTTCAACCAAGGATCTTTGGGGTTACAAATCCATCGTTGGTATTTTAGTGGTCAGAACCTGAAAGGTTTGGGAACCACTGAAAGATAAGACTGAATGACTGGTTCAGTGTTATTCAGACTGACTGGTTCTGTTATTCAGACTGAATGACTGTTTCTGTGTTATTCAGACTGTTTGACTGGTTCTGTTATTCAGACTGAATGACTGGTTCTGTGCTATTCAGACTGAATGACCGGTTCTGTGTGATTCAGACTAAATGACCGGTTCTGTTATTCAGACTGGATGATTGGTTCTGTTATTCAGACTGAATGACCGGTTCTGTTATTCAGACTGTATGACTGGTTCTGTGTTGTTCAGACTGAATGACCGGTTCTTTGTGTTATTCAGACTGGATGACTGGTTCTGTGTTATTCAGACTGTTTGACTGGTTCTGTGTTATTCAGACTGGATGACCGGTTCTGTTATTCTGACTGGATGACTGGTTCTGTGTTATTCAGACTGAATGACTGGTTCTGTTATTTAGACTGAATGCCCGGTTCTGTGTGATTCAGACTGAATGACCGGTTCTGTTATTCAGACTGGATGACTGGTTCTGTGTGACCGGTTCTGTGCTATTCAGACTGGGTGACTGGTTCTGTTATTCAGACTGGATGACCGTCCGTCCGTCCGTCCGTCCATCCATCCATCCATCCATCAATCCATCCATCCATTATCTTTACCCGTTTATTCCATTTTGGGTCACGGGGGTCGCTGGTGCCCATGTCCAGCAATCACTGTGCAAGGGGCAGGGTACACCCTGGACGGGTCGCAAGTCCATCACAGGGCCACATAGAGACAAACAATCATTCACTCTCTCACTCACACCTAGGGACAATTTAGAGTTACCAATCAGCCTAACATGCATGTTTTTGGACTGTGGGAGGAAACCGGAGCACCCGGAGAAAACCCACGCATGCACGGAGAGAACATGCAAACTCCACCCAGAAGGCCCCTGGACCGGGGTTTGAACCAGGGACCTGTTCGCTGAGAGGCAGCAGCTCTACCAGTTGCGACACCGTGCTGCCCAACTGGATGACCGGTTCTGTGTTATTCAGACTGGCTGACTGGTTCTGTGTTATTCAGACTGGATGACTGGTTCTGTTATTAAGACTAGATGACTGGTTCCGTTATTTAGACTGGATGACTGGTTCTGTTATTCAGACTGGATGACTGGTTCTGTGTGACCGGTTCTGTGTTATTCAGACTGGATGACTGGTTCTGTTATTCAGACTGGATGACTGGTTCTGTGTGACCAGTTCTGTGTTATTCAGACTGGATGACTGGTTCTGTTATTCAGACTGAATGACCGGTTCTGTTATTCAGACTAGATGACCAGTTCTGTTTTGTTCAGACTGGATGACTGGTTCTGTTATTCAGACTAGATGACTGGTTCTGTGTTGTTCAGACTGGATGACCGGTTCTGTTATT